TACTATTTAACATAAAACCTTCATTTAAGAGTTCAAATCAAGGAAAACAGAAGTGCGGAAAAGAAAAGCCCGACATCGGGGTGTCACTAGTCATGAGCATCTACTATAATCTGTCTAACAATATCAAGGCTAACTCAGCCTGAAAAATAGCTAAATACTACTAGAGGAAGATAAGAGGGAGAAAAGCAGGGGCTGCGATCGCCAAACAGCTACCTTGCTATATCCAAGAAAATCTACAACCAGAACACTCAATAACCGCTACCGTATCTAGCTACACCTGAATCTGCACACAAGGTGCAGGGAGTAACGTGAGTACGTCAACTCAGTAAGTAATAACAATAAATAAAGACTGAACAGTAATGACGAGCAATAAAACATATAACGTTTATATCATGAAATCTCAGTAAAGTACAACATGCTTTAAAAATCAATGTTTGAATCAAATCATCTCGTTTAAACCCGGTTTCAGTAAAAATAATTTAAAGATATTTTTCCAACAGTTTTTCAAACAAAGGCTCAATGCAAAGGTGAGCAAAAATGATGAAATCATAAACAGCCCCTCGGGCAAAATATCACTCATATACAGCCCCTCAGGCAAACCTCACAGTCACTCTTGCCACTCGGGCATACCTCACAATCACTCATGCCTCCTAGTCACTCAGCACTCGACACTCACACTCAGTAGGTACCTGTGCTCACTGGGGTATGTACAGACTCCGAAAGGGCTCCTTCAGCCCAAACACTATAATCTGCACGGACAACTCACGTGCTGTAATAATAAAGTATGCTGCAGGCGGGCAGCCCCGATCCTCACTCATCCTCACAAATCAGCCCCTTGGCCTCACTGAGTCATAAATATGTTGCAGGCGGGTAGCCCCGATCCACACTCATCCTCACAAATCAGGCCTTCGGCCTCACTCAGTCATAAACCTCTCAAGCTACTCAGGCATTTCAGTAAAATAGGGCATTCAGCCCAAAACATTTATATGCATCAAAATAGAGTCATAAAACTGAGTTATGCGGTAAACAAGTATAAACATGACTGATTATAGATTTTCAATCAAAAACAATGAGAGGATGGTAAGAAATAGCCCCTAAGCGTCCAAACAGCTTTGGCACAAGGCCCAAACATGGCATTCAGCCCAATTTACAGAAATTCTTTCTAAAACATATAAGTATCATATAATTTCCATAAAATATGCAACTTTACAGTTGCTACGAGACGGACCAAGTCACAAATCCCCAACAGTGCACGCCCACACGCCCGTCACCTAGCATGTGCATCACTAAAAATAGTAGAATGATACAAAACCCGGAGTTTCATACCCTCAGGACCAGATTTACAATCGTTACTTACCTCAAACCGGTCAAATCTCTAACCCGCAATGCTCTTGTCTCTGGACTCGGCTTCCAAATGCTCCGAGTACAATACCATCAATACGCGCTAATGGAATGAATTCCACAAGAAAAACTATAAAATTAGACCAAAACCCGAAATTGGCTCAAACCCGGCCCCCGGGCCCACGTCTCAAAATTCGACAAAATTTACAAAATTAGAAAGCTCATTCACTCACGAGTCTAATCTGCCCAGGTTTTTCGCACCTGCGGAAAATTGCACGTTTCTGCGCCACCACACTTGCGGAAAAAAACCATCGCAGGTGCGGAACTCACTTAGGAGCACAACTTTCGCATCTGCGGCCCAAACCCCCACGCCTGCGAAGGCGCACCTGCGCGTCTACTCCACTTCTGTGAAGCCTGCCAAGCATCCCCCTTTCCGCATCTGCGCCCCAGGTTTCGCACCTGCGGGCTCACAGATGCGACCTCCAACTCGCACCTGCGCATCCTGCCTAGCCCAGCATTGCCCGCACCTACGCACTCCCTACGCGCACCAGCGGCCTCGACTCTTTCTTCCGCAGGTACAAAAATAGCAGTAGCAGCAGCTTAAGCTGCATTTTCCAACTTCGACAAATACGTTAACCATTCGGAATCACCCCGAGGCCCTCGGGACCTCAACCAAAAATACCAACAAGTCATATATCAACATACCAACTTAGTTTAACCTTCGAATCACTCAAAACAACATTAAATCATTAAATTTCCCTCGGATTCAAGCCTAAGAACTTATAAATTTTCAAATTCGACAACCGATGCCGAAACCAACCAAACCACTTCCGAATGACCTCAAATTTTTCACACAAGTCACAAATGACACTACGAACCTACTCCAACTTTCGAAATTCCATTCCGACCCTGATATCAAATTTTCCACTACCGATTGAAATCGCCAAATTTCCAATTTCGCCAATTCAAGCCTAATTCTACCACGGACCTCCAAATTACATTCCGTTCACGCTCCTAAGTTCAAAATCACCTGATGAAGCTAATGGAACCATCCAAATTCCAATCCGAGGTCAAATGCTAAAGAGTCAAATTTTGGTCAACTCTCCCAATTTAAAGCTTCAACAATGAAATTCTTTCTTCCAATTCGATTCCGAAATAACTGCAACCCAAACCCGATGATTCACACAAGTCAAAGTACATCATATGGAGATACTTATGCCCTCAAATAATCGAGCGAAGTGCAAATGTTCAAAATGACCGGTCGGGTTGTTACAGTATGCTTAGGCCTTGAGTGAAAGCCTGAACGGCCCAATCATCGGTGACCGGGGGCAGATCCATACGCTCCATTTGGATCCGTGATACGAACTCTCTGAGCATCTCGTTGTCTTTATGTTTTACTTTGAAGAGGTCCGACTTTCTAGTATTGACCTTTATTGCTCCGACGTGTGCTTTGATGAAGGAATATGCGAGCATGGCAAAAGAATCAATGAAGTTAGGTGGCAAATTATGGTACCATATCATCGCCCCCTTTGATAAAGTTTCTCCAAATTTCTTCAGCAGTACAGACTCAATCTCATCATCCTCTAGATCATTCCCCTTTATTACGCATGTGTACTAGGTGACATGCTCGTTGGGGTCGGTAGTTCCATTATACTTGGGAATTTCTGGCATGCGGAATTTCTTTGGAATGGGCTTAGGAGCCGCGCTCGAGGGGAAGGGCTTTTGTACAAACTTCTTTGAATCCAAACCCTTTAAAATCGGTGGTGCCCCTGAAATTTGATCAACTCGGGAGTTATATGTTTTCACTTTTTTGTCATTCGCTTCAATCTTCATCTCCCTCGATTCAATTCACTTTGACAACTCCTCGAACATTTTCAAGATAGCGGGTTCGGTCCCTGATTCATTCACATTTGACCTCCCCGGCACTAGTTCGGCCCTGTGAACAACTTCCTGTGATGGCTCTCGGGTTCCACTCTACTCGGCGCGTGGTTCTGATTTTGAAGTTGTGCTATTGCAGCTTGTTGAGCCTGCAACATTTTGAATATTATTTGAAGGCTGATTCCGCCTTCTTCGCCGCCTTGTGCATTCTGACCGGTTGATCGAACGTCTCTGCAGATTCTAATTTCGGGGTCGACGCCCAGATTTGCATTCAGGGCAACATGGGAACTCACGTCGATGGGGTCTGCAACTGGTACTCACTTGAGGTCAACTGGAGGCACTTCGTTCCTGGGGCGTCTACGTTGTCATTTTCTCCATGAAAACCAAGGCCATTGTCGATGTGTGTGGGTACTACTCGAGAGTTCGACATGCTGATCCTGGAATCAAAAACACTTACAAGAACAAGTGTAAAGCAGTGTGTGTTACAAAAATTAGCACCATGCAATCACTATTATCCTTAGCCATGGTGGGCGCCAAACTATTTTCCCTTAAAATCGGATAACAATTAAATTTGTAAGTGATTTTAAGGATATGTGATTTCACTTGGCACAAACTAAGAAATATGAGAATTGAAGTTAGAAATTAACTGTAAAATGAAGCAACCCAATGCAACGTGCAACTTTGACCCTCGAGCTAGGTCGCCCTCGAACCAACCGAGTATATTATTGAAAAGCAAGAACTGAACAATTGAATAAGAGAGCTTAAGAGAGAAAACGTAATATATTGCTTTGTTATGCGTGAATGTGTCCTTACAAAATGATTGGAACCCCCTTTATATAGTAGAGGAGTTCTACATATGGTATAATTCTAAATACAGAAGGAAATCTCCTGATTGGCTAATCAACCGGTCTTGACTTGATACATACCGAGATCTCCGCCACAATCCTCGCCCGGTCACAGATTCCTCGGCTTTCTGTTATTCGACTTAGGAGGCTTCCTTCGATCTCGCTAGATCTCTATCCTTCTCGGTCTCGACCTTAGCTGGTATCGATCTCGATTGATCCCTGAATCATGAGCTAGGCAATGTTTATTCATATAATGATCCAATATAACTTGGGATTGGACCTGGTCTGCCACCCCGATCTCAATTAACCATACCCGATTTTGATCGTATACAATATGTGCATTATTTTATGCGTGAAATTTTTTGAAATAAAATTACTTATATTAATAATACGGGAATAAATCTATTTTAAGACAAAATACACTTAACATAGCAATAGGGCCACGTTGGCTACGATTCGTTTGTATTTTAGCTCGAGTTGGCTTGATTCAATTTTAATCATACCTATGGTCATCTTGACTCAATTTTGCTCAAAATTTAACTCGACTAGACTCGATTAAAGCTCGGACAAAGCTAAGGTCAGCCCAGCTCAAGCTCGATTGAGTCGTCTAATAATTAGTTTAGAACCAAAATTCATCAATTAAGAGCAATTATTAATTAAATTGATAATACGTTAATTAAATATGTACTACCCATACATTTGTAATGCTTATGGGTGCACCTGTCCAACACCGAAGAATGTTGTCAATTGTCTTTTTATTCTTGGAAAGAAGCAGTAATTGGTAGAAACAAAATACTGAGCCGAAGTAGAAACAGAAAAAGAAACAAGCAGTACTTGTCCCTTGTACTAAAATTCTTCCAACGGCTTATATACTTCGAATTTGAAATCAAGAACCATTCTCTCTCTCTCTCTCTCTCTCTCTCTCTCTCTACAATCTGAGCATTCGTTTGTTCCATTCTCTCTCTCTGCCAAAGAATTGGAGCAATTCTCACTATTACTCATTTTCCTCAAGAAAAAGGTAAGATTTTATCACTTTTCTTTTTGTTCATTCTCTTATCAGAAAATTTGGTCTGAATTTTGAAGAACAATTGGGTTTAATGATTCAAACTTGCACTGACTGAATTGGTATAATTGTTCCCTGTTTGGGAAGAGGGGAGGGGGTTGATGATTTGCAACCTTCATTGATCAATTAGTTGTGTTTCTGCACTCAAATATCTGATTTAATCTTTTGTTGTTTTATCAGTCTTATTTTGATTTTCCGCAAAATCCTAATTGTAGTTCTTCATTCTTCAATTCTTCTATCATCTGTTTTCTATGTTTCATTTTTCTGTAATTCTTTTTCTTCCAAACTGCTATATTGGTCTTCTTTAGCTTTTAACAAAATTTGATTGTTTTCCGTTTTAAGGAAGATATTTTATTGTCCTTCGGTCGTTCATCTTTTTTCCATTTATCTGCAGTATATCTTCAAATGTTGCAAGCTATTTCTATACTCTGGTGTTCTTATGATTCGAAATGAACTTTAAATTTTTCGATTGTGTTGGAATCAATGCAGACTTGCTCGTTTGTTCACAGTGATCTCATCCTTCCCTTTTTTCGCACTACTTGCAGGAAGACTACTCTCACCCCATCAATTTACTTTCCTACCTACCTTTAGAGTGTAGAATGATGGGCACAAGCTTCAGACCTATACAAGGCGGCCGAATCTGCCAATGTCCACCAACAGCTCTATCCAAATTGGACAAGCTAATAAGATTTGGCCCCCTCTATTGTATCGGCGAGGACATGAAATTCAAAAAGTTAAAAGAGGATGCGTGGCAGCACGTCATAAATAACAGTGGACAGATCTCTGAAAAAACAATAGACACATATCAGTCAACTATTAAAAGCTTTGAGCCAACTATCCAAGATATGTACATCTTTCATGATGGAGGAAGGTTGTCTTCGGATGAACCGGAGGTGAACAAAAACCTGGAATGTCTAGTCATGGATGGTTGCTTTTTCCTGATAGTAGTCTTGAATCTCTTAGGTGCAACAGCAAATGGCCTCCATTACTTGCCCGGTCAATTCATTTGGGGAAGCTATCTGTCTCAAATTGAGACACAGAGTTTGAAGAAGCTTTTTCTAAAGTCGATAATTTTCCCCGGAAATCAACTGCCATTTCTTGTGCTTGATGAACTCCTACGACAGACTTTCTTCCGAGAAATTATAACACAAAAAGTGAAATGGTACCCGCCAGAAGATGATGTGTTGCTTCGAGTACTTTATGATTTGATTGTTTTGCCGCTTCAACGGAATGCCGACTACTATGGTACGTGGTTATGCCGTTTTGAAGCGTGTGATTCATTTAAGGATCCCCCGAATGACATACTCCATGAGCTTTACTTGCGGTTGGTTGGAAGGAGACCAACAAGTGATGAAACTGAAGAGGAGTGGGATATACTGCTGGACATGGGAGATGGCAACGAGGAAGAGAGGGAGAGGTTCCCGTGTGCCAAGGATTTGAGCAATTCAGGGATTCGNGGAAGAAGACGTGTTGCTTCGAGTACTTTATGATTTGGTTGTTTTGCCGCTTCAACGGAATGCCGACTACTATGGTACATGGTTATGCCATTTTGAAGCGTGTGATTCATTTAAGGATCCCTCGAGTGACATACTCCATGAGCTTTACTTACGGTTGGTTGGAAGGGGACCAACAATTGATGAAACTGAAGAGGAGTGGGATATACTGCTGGACATGGGAGATGGCAACGAGGAAGAGAAGGAGAGGTTCTCGTGTGCCAAGGATTTGAACAATTCAGGGATTCGGTTTGAGGGGGTACAAAACATAGGGATAAAAGACATTACTCTACGCCGCTACTTTAGATGTGCAGTTTTGCGCTTGCCCATCTTAGCTCTCAACCAAAGTAACATTCTTATGCTTGAGTCACTGAAGGAATATGAGAAAATTCAGCAACTCCCCGAGCGAGATGTGACTGCATACTTGCAGCTTTTGTGTGACATGGTCCAAACATATAATGATGCTGCTATTCTTGTCTCACAAGGGATAATCCGTGTGAGTCCACATAGAGTCCATCAGGTTCCTCAATTATTGAAGAACCTTGCTCACTTGAATGAGTCTGAAACTCTTTTACCATTGAATAGTAGCAGCCTGCAGCTTGTGGGATTTAAAGTTGGACAATTCTTATTGTGGGTGAAGTTTTGGAAAAATGTGTGTAATGTGGTGGGTATTCTCACATTAATTTCGACGATTTTTGCCATTCTCCAGTATATAAAATCATGAAATCCTCCATTGGTTGCTCTTCTTTGGTTGGATGTTATGAACTTTAGAAACTAAAAGTGTATAGGCATAGATTGGTTAAACTGGAAGAGGTGTAATTTTACTGTTTTTGTCTATGGGCATAGAAACTAAAATAGGAATGTAGTGATGTTTACGGCATTTGTACAAACTTGAATTGTATTCATTGGTTAAACTGAGGTTTAACTTTGATCACTATTTTTGAAGAAGAGATTTTGAACTTCTTATGCTTAGCTTCTCTGCTATTTCTTTTATTCCTTATGTTGCTGGTGTTCTGACAAATTCCAATAGCTGAATGAAACAAATTCTATTATGCCCACTCTGACTTTTATGCTGATGCCTTCTTTTTCTCTTTAGATAACTAGTGTAAGTAATCTGCTTTTCTTTTGTTGCTGATCCTCTTATCAATAAGAAGTTGTGCATTCTCCTGACTTTGATCTGAAATTTACTTAGTGAGAACAGGAAAGGCTTCAACCTTTTGCTTCTGAACTGATTCTTGTAAGAGAGAGGGAGAAGAAGAGAAAATGGAGAGATACAGGCTGTGACAGTTTCTCTTCAAACTAAAAAACTCATGTGCAACACTGTCTTGCACATTTCGAAAAAAGTGTATGCAGATCCAATTGTTAACTGTTCTTCTATTTACCATTTTCTATCAATAGTAAGAGATACAGTGTTAACAAAGAACAATAGCCACACAACAGTCTCACAAAAAATGCCAGGATGGCGTGTACTAACAGTGCATGCACCTACAAGGTTTTAATTGAATCAAAATAATGAAAGGAAACGCGTGCAGATGGTAGGCTAGAAACTCGTGTTTTAGTTGTAGTTTACACTCTAATTACTTCATTTTACGTGTGTTCGAGATTAAATGATGGTGATTTGTACTTTTTACGTGTTTTATGCCTTAAAGGAATTGATTCCGAGTTAAAAGGATAAATTTGAGCTAAATCGAATAATTTGGAGCTTTGAAGTCTGTGTAAAAGCCAAAGAATTAAACCAGGATCGCATCCGGGGCTCATGGACCGGCGTTGCATACGAAAGTGGAAAGAAAGTGCAAGGGCTAGAACAAATGTACCAATGCGACGCATGACGCGTTGCACGGTGCGACACATTAGTGCAAATGTGCGTCAGAAGTTTGACAAGTTCAGAGACAGGGAGTTTTGTGGTCGGGCAAGAAAATGCACTACTGCGACGCACAACGCGACGCACTAACACAAAAGTCTGTCAGTCACGCGAAGTTCAGAGAGTTTACAACTGAGTAAACTACACTAATGCGACGCCTTAAGCGTAGCATTGTGCGACGCATTAGTGCAAATGTGCGTCAGAAGTTTGACAAGTTCAGAGACTGGGAGTTTTGTGGTCTGACAAGAAAATGCATTACTGCGACACCGCGTGATACGCATTATGCGACGCACTAACTCTAGAGTCTGTTAGACACGTGGAGTTCAGAGAGTTTGCAACTGAGTAAACTACACTAATGCGATGCGTCACGGGCTTTCTACCGGTACACACCAGTAGGTGCCGATTAACTGAACATAAATGAAAAACAAACAGATGAGATGAAATTTAAACAGTGTCAACAGTACTAGATACCTTATTCATCATATTCCATTGGCCAACTTGTGGCAGACAGTCTTTTTCTCGACTGTTATCATGATACTTGAGCTGCAGAAATACATACTCATTATTGAAATCCGAACTAAAATAAACTTTATCACTACACAAATCAAATTTAGGCAAGAATGGTATACCCAGGGGTAGTACGACCATCCCCCCTCAACCATGAGAAGAATCATTTTTAAAAAAAAAGCAGTGAGGAGCCTAACATATCCGAAGTGGAGGCAAAATAGGAGCCTCAACTTGTGCCAACTTGTCAATAATCTTAATGCCAAACTCCTTGGCATATGGGTTATTAGCGTAGGCGTTATGACGTACAACCTGACATAGAAACAGAAATAAAATGGAAGTTTATAAGCAAATTATCATGTCAAAAACAGTCATCTGATTGTAACAATGATCATCTGTGGTAAGCGTTGGAGGAGTTGCGATTGAAGTACCCTGAAGTTGAGATTATATATGTGGATTATTACAAGGCATTTATGGCTATTCTTCGCAATCAATGCACTCTTGGGATTCAAGACTAGTAAGACGTTGATGAAAGTTTGTTGCGGTAGTACTAGAAGGGGTCCGTTTAATTTTGATCCGCATAAATAGTGTAGAGAGAAAAGAGTTGTAACATGTTCTGATAGGGCTTCACATATTCATTGAGATGGATTTCGATAAAACCTGACGCTTCGAAGAATATGATTGATATTCTCTTCAGCAAAAATGGTTTTGTATTTCCAGAGTTTAAGTTCGCACAAGATCATCATGCAGCAGCAACAGAAAGGTACAGTTCCAAGATTTAGAGATTAAGGTTTGTTTTAATTTGCTCTAATATTGGTATGATGAGGTTGCAAGAAGCAGAGAGTCTTTTGCTTTGGTAGGGTAGGCCCTCAAATGATGTTTTTTGTGTACAGTGTGGCTAGCACCCTCTTATTTTTTTTACTAACATTAAATTCTTTCAAATTTTATTACAAATTCAAAAACAAACTTGAGAGTTGTCATGGGCGGCTTTCCAACCATGCCCCATGACCCCTTGGATGCGCCCCGTAGCGTCCTGGCCAGCTTCCCAACACCCGTCACCATGGTCGGCCCCGTGGTCTCGGCAACTCCAAGTGACAAGCGCGCATGTGCCTCTGTCGCCCCACCGATAGCCATCTTCAGCGCCCAGCCATAGGCAGATGCCAACAGCGCCGCGCTTAGACAATGCCGCGCGCGCAGACCCTGATGCTAAAGACAAAGTTGCTGCCAACAGACTTGTTTCTGCTTTGTAGAAGACTAAGTCCTTTTCATTGTAAATATAGAGTAGTTTTGCTGCATTTTCTTTAAGTGTGATTTTCCAGCTTTCATAGGTCTAGTCATGTAACTTTGGTTTATTTTTTTTAAGCATTATTAAGGGGGACCAAGCAATCAAACTTTCAAGCAAGCAAACGATTCTCTGTACTGGTGTCTCCCCTCCGACACTGTGTTGTTTTTCTGTAATAGCTTTCATTCAATGCAATCAAGTTTTCTTTCATTCTCAATTCTCTTTTCTGTTCTCTCTTTAAATTTATCACGACATTGGTTTTCCTGTATGGCACTGACAATCTAGTCTAGCGTACGGAGGGGACCTCAGTTGGCGGACAACAATCGTACTGA